GGAGGAATTGCACCTGCATGGGCGCTAGGCCAACACCAGGCCAGATGTCCGAGGGAAGGAAATCACCCTGGTCGACGCGAAAAGCATCCCGAGCGGCAGCGTCTTCGTCGTGGAGTTGGTCCAGCTTGTGCCGGGTGTCTCGGAGGACCTTTTCCACCCTTTGACGGACGTGCTTTCGACGAGCTACCTCGAGCATAAGGCTATCATAGGCGTTGAGGAAGCCATCATAGAGGGAGTGTAGGTCAGAGAGTTCTGCAAGACCCGTGTTAATACGGTCGTTTTCCTCGTGCCATACTCTTGTGAAATTGTGTGCCTGGGAGATGTAACGAGGTAGACGAGAGGAGGCCAGGGAAGATAGATGGGTGTTCACTTCAACGGTTGCTTTGGAAATAGTCAAGAGCACATCTCGCTGTGCTTGTACTTGCTCAAAGATGGATTCCATCTCGGTGATGCGATCTTGGATTTCCATTACCACATCATCTGCCTCAGGGGCATCCTTGATAATAACAGCGACCATTTCCTGGTATTCAGCGTCTGTCATTGGATCCGGGGGTGCGTTCAAATTGGCATTGATTTCCGCCCCAATATTAGGCATCCCGTCGGTGCCGCGGTCCACACCCGAGGGCATGTCCCCCGTGATAGATCGCGCGACTGCTCCTCCACCATCTGTATGTTTCACCGCGGTGACGCAGAGGTCAAAGTGGCGAACCAGGGATTCCAGCAGGCCGGCCATTTCTTGGGCGTTGGCCTCCAATGATTGGATCTGACCAGGCATCGACGATAAGGTGAGCAGGCCGGAATCCGAGGCAGAGGATGTCGATGACGAGATTGAGACACGGGATGAGGCGAATTTCGTGGCTGTGTGGTAATGTCGAAGTGACTGCCTGGTGGCTTGAAGCTCGTCATCAAACTCCCGATTGGATGTGTCCAATTCAGCTCGTGCTGTGTTAGTGCGGTCTATTGAGTCTTTCAAGGACGCATGCAGCTCTGCCACTCCTCGCTCATCCACGAAGTCGTGGAGGGTCTTCTGAACTTCATCCCCGGGCCTGAATGAAGGGTGAACAATTGTCCCACGGAGTAGATCCAGGGTATCTTTGAGGCGAGCATCAGCAGCGTCAAGGTTTCTCAAGGCAGCCGAGAACTCATCACGACCTCGGTATGAGATTTCCTCCACCTCGGTACGAACGTCGTATAGCAACCGCAGCTGATTATTGAGACCTCGGCGTAGAAACCCTGTCCGGGAGCAGACAATGACGCTCTCCTCCAAAGCCGAATGGGATGCAGTCACGATTTCGTTCGCCCGCCACACATGGTTTATCGAGGAAAGCGACCGCTTGGCTCCCAGTAGATAAGAGATCAGGTTGTCGACCTGAGGTATGGACTTTTCCTCGTCGGGAGGAGGAATCGATGATGCGGATGACTCGGATGACGACATTTTGGCAACCAGTGAAGGCGATGGGGTGAGACCAGGGTGAGACCAGGGTGAGCAGACACGGCTCTCAATGCCAGAAAGCCTTTGGTCGAAGGAGGCTACGAAAAGGAGGGATTCGGGATTCTACTATCAGTTGGAAGCCTAGATCACTTGCACTTGTTGACCATATGAATCCAAGCTGATACGGAGGCGGAAATGAAGGACGGAGCCCCGGATGCAGGGATGCACACCAATAAGCTCTTCTCCACTAAACAAAGCTGGGAAGAGAAAGGCGTCTCACCCAGTGGGTCTGCGGCTAGACTCGAGGATGTCTTCTCCACTGTAGGATCACTGTAGCTTCAGCCCGAGATTAGCGGTGTGATCCCGTCTGAGACCCCAGCCTGATACATCGGGCGCGAATCATAAGTAGAAGAGAAGTGAAGACTGGGGGAAGTGTTGATGTGCGAGATGGCGGAGATGTCGCAATCCGGGTCACGTGGCACACCGCCCTGATCACGAATTCGCCTTCCGTCACGCAATTCCCTCTTAGTTGTGGCCGAGCTAACCAAATCCGAACTATTGCGACTATTGCAACTCGACGATTGTGCAATCGCCCGTTTGTTTAAAGTCTCCGGCGATCCCGGTTGCTTCTGCAACTACTTCTGCAACTCCGTTCTGTGTCGATCATATACCTTCCCTTTCCTCAGGGTACTCATATCCGCCCGAGTATATAATCCCCGACTTTCCTGGGATATCGGACGGAGTATTGTCCTGAGAGTGACATCCTCGCTATCATCTCTGATCAGTGTTGCACTTGGGAACAATCTCCGAGCGCCGACACGTACAAGCCACCTGGTCCTTATCGCTGTACACAATAGGTGGAACCGTCACCTTCACTCAAAACGGTTCTCCTCCCCCTCAACCTCGCAACCGATCTACAACTATGTCCGACACTCAGGAAAATCGCTTTGCACAGCAAACCCTGACCCCTGCCGCCACCGTGGGCCCAAGTGCAAATGCCGATTCCAACCGCTCTCCGCCCCGCAAAGGCTCCGACACACAGACATTGGAGGAACGGGCAAGGCAGAATGTTGCGTCTTTCCTGACAAAGTACCAACCGAGGCAATATGCGCCTTTGCGCTCCCAGATCAATACTGCTGCTGAGCATCGCCCGGTGAACGCTAGTTACTGCTACCGTCACCAACCAGATTCGAAATGTAGACGTCAGGCGGATGAGCAGTCAATGACCCGGCTGCAAAGCGACCTGGACACACTTCCTCAAAGTGATCAGCAGGGCATCGCCCATGTTTGGTCCTTGTTTTCCGCTGCTCCAGCCAAGCAGCGCACTCTCATGCTCCAGGGAATCCTGGCCCAGTGCTGCTTCCCTCAACTCTCTTACATCTCTGCCAGCGTCCGCGAACTGATCCGAATCGATTTTCTTGCCGCCCTTCCACCAGAGTTGTCTTTCAAAATCCTTCGTTACCTCGATACCGCGTCCCTTTGCCGAGCAGCTCAAGTGTCTCATCGCTGGAGAGCCCTTGCTGATGACGATGTGGTCTGGCATAGGATGTGTGAGCAACATATTCGCCGCAAGTGTAACAAGTGTGGCTGGGGTCTTCCTCTTTTGGATCGTAAACGCTTGCGCGAGGCAAAGCGTGAGATCGAGCTCCGTGCTACCAATTGGGGACACAACCAGCCTGCCGGAGGATCCACCGAGAACACGATCAACGAGTCTTGCTCGACGGTCGAGGCTCCTGTCGGTGGAAAGCGCAAGATTGACTCTGACGACCAAAGTACTGCACTGACAAAACGCCACTGTGCATCCCCCGCGCAAGCTCTTGAAGAGGACGAGAGTTATTTCAAGACTCGGTACCGTCCGTGGAAGGATGTCTACCGTGATCGCTTCGTGGTTGGCATGAACTGGAAACACAAGCGTTGCTCTGTTAAAGTGTTCAAGGGTCACCGAGACAGTGTCATGTGCCTTCAATTCGAGGACAACATTTTGATGACTGGATCCTACGATGCCACCATCAAGATTTGGGACACAGATACCGGCGAAGAATTGCGAACGCTCCGAGGCCACACTGCTGGGGTGCGTTGTCTCCAGTTTGACGACACGAAGCTGATCACCGGGAGCTTGGATCGCAGCATCAGAGTGTGGAACTGGCGTACGGGTGAATGTATCTCCAAGTACAATGGTCACACTGAAGCGGTCATTGCCCTCCACTTTGATTGCACTCTTCTGGCTTCTGCCTCCGTCGACCGCACAGTTAAGATCTGGAATTTCAAGGACAAGTCCACTTTTGTGCTTCCTCACCCAGAGGGAGTTAATGCTGTTAAGATCGACACTCCTTCGCGTACAGTTTTGACTGCCTGTGATGACGGTGCAGCTCGCCTATGGGATTTGGATACCAAGACTTGCATCCGACTGTTCCACAACCACATCGGAGCCGTCCAGCAAGTTATCGCATTGCCACGCGAAATTGAGCTAGAAAGCCATCTCGCCGATTGTGAGAACGATCACGTCAGCACATCCTCCCAAAATGGCGATGCTGTCAATATCCTCTCTCCCATTTTAGAGGCCAAGTCCCTCTCTATCCAACCTTCGTCTTTCGGTTCTTCCTTCGACCAAGAAGAAAGCCGCCTGGAGCCCCCGCGCTACATCATCACAAGCGGTGTAGATGCCACTATTCGCTTGTGGGAAACCAGCACCGGAAGATGCCTTCGTACCTTCTTTGGCCACCTGGAGGGTATCTGGGCTCTCTCTGCTGATACCCTGCGGATTGCATCTGGCGGCATGGATCGCATGGTGAAGATCTGGGATCCCCGTGTCCCCACCTGTCAGGATACCTTCGAAGGACATAGCGCTGCTGTGAATTGCATTGGACTCAGTGATAGCCGGTTTATCACCGGTGGCGACGACTACCAAGTCCGCATGTACGATTTCCGGGCTTCGTGAAGTCCTTTTTTTCCTCCTCTGTTTTGTTAGCTACATTTTTCTGGGATGGAACCGGGATGTTCAAAGTGTGCAATACTCGCGTTCTTTCCTTGTTACTTTTGCATTTCTGATTGATGGATGGGATACCCTGGCGCATTCACTAACGGTGGTTTTGCTGGCAAGGAGGTTGGACGTCACAGCTTACTTCTGACTGCATTATAGGCGCTATTGGGGTTGCTTTTTTCTTGCAGATTCTACCAGACTGACTGGTTTCATGCTAATACTATGTCTTCCTTGTTTCAAAAGGCCATAATCAACTTTTTATCAAAAGCATCGCATCTTCCATTGTATAGAGCACTCAGGCTAGAGTTAGATAACTCCTAAATGGGAAATGATCGACCAATCTGCCTCAGTGACGTAGTGGCCTCTCACGTCGGATCTCCCATGCAAGGGTCCAGGGGCTTCAATCCTCTCTGGAATTAGCATGCCAACCATTCCCGTCGATATTAAGGAATACTCAGGGGATTTTGCGCCCTCACGTCCTTGTCTCGGTCCGATGTTGCCTGTGCTGCATTTGCGTTCGCCTGGGGTTGGGTTATCCACATTATCACGAACATGATACTATCAAATTTACGCCGTGTCAGGCGTTGGATGGTGAGCCACGCGCCTCCAATATAATACTATACAGCAAGCGCTAATCGATCTTATAGCTGGGTACCGTCAGTTCAGCATGGCATGAAGAGACGTACGGTCTGCTCGGTCAAGGGAAAGGGAAGACCGCGAACTATCACTCTTGCCATAGGAAAGGGATGTGCATAATTGTCCTTTCGGCAATTTCAATCACAACCATGTTTTTGTTCTTCAGTCCTCCAATACTGGCTACTCCCGATGAAGGACTTTGTCCCCATCCTGTTTTGCAACTTACGAGGAATGCCCAAAACGCATTCGATACAACTGTGAAACGGCAATCAAAATCATTGAATGAGGCCATTGCTGAATACAAACGTCGATACAACATGCCACCACCTCCTCACTTTGACGCGTGGTACAAATTCGCCACAGACAGAGGGACAGTCCTAATAGATGAATTCGATATAATCTACCACGCACTACTTCCATTCTGGGGCGTTTCTCCAAGCGTGATCCGCGAACGAACAAGACAAGACCTTGGATACAAGGATAACATGTTCATGGGTTGGTCGATACGAGCCGGCAAGCCGATCTACACTGTCTTTGGCGAACGGTACCAGCGCGATGGAATGAAGATGATCATTGACAAGTTCGCGGAATATTTACCAGACATTGATATGGCGTTCAATGTTCACGATGAGCCGCGAGTTGTTGTTGCTCATGAACAGTTGAGTCGGATGGTCTCTCTTGGTAGAGAAGCTCAGAATCAGTTGGCTCAGGCATCCTCCCCAAGGGGTACATTTTCGAAGCGGGAATATGTATCTGAGTGGATCACATCAGTCTCGACTACTCGATACAACAACCTGGCGCTACAAGAAAATTGGGTTTATTCGAGCATGTCATGTCCTGCAGACACTCCAGCGAGAAAACTTGACGGGGACCCTCAAGATGACACAGCTTCGTACGCCGTTCAGCCTCTGGGTTTTGTTTACAACCACACTGCCTTCAGCGATATATGCAGGAACCCTTCGCTGCGGAACCGTGTAGGTCTCTTCAAGGCACCACATATTTTGAAGCTGACGGATGAGATCGCTCCTGTGTTCTCTGTGTCAGCGCCTTCTTCTTTCCAAGATATTCCAATGCCATCGATGTGGTACTACATGGATAAAATGTCTTATGAAGAGGACATTGACTCTGAATGGAAAGACAAGAAACCTCAACTGTACTGGAGAGGAGGCAACAGCGGTGCCCACACAAAGGCAGATACCTGGCGCCATTCTTTGCGACAGCAAGTTGTGGGGAATTTGACTCATCCTACTTCACCGCAATATACCTTTAAACCGAACTCAAGATCGCCAGCGCCATCATGTAGTGAGTTTGGCAGTAATGATGGAGCTCTCGAACAAATCCATTCAGAAAGATACCGGGACCATTTCAACATCAAATTTACGGAAATTGATTATTGCGAAGATGACTGCAAATCACAAATTGAATTCTTCGGAGAACCAGCCAGTTTCGAATGGCCGAAAGAAGCATGGCGGCACCGCTACTTACTAGATATGGATGGCTGGGCATACAGCGGAAGGTTCTATGCCTTCCTGCGCAGTAAGAGTCTACCCATGAAACTCTCAATCTTTCGTGAATGGCATCAAGATATCCTGGTCCCATGGGTCCATTATGTGCCCCTCAACAAGGATGTGGACGAAGTTCCCGAGTTGATCCGATATTTTGAAAATGATCACACTGGACGAGTCATTGCGCAGACTATGGCTGAAAATGGGAGAACATGGGCAAAAAGGTTCTTAGAAAGGAAGACATGGAAGTCTATATGTTCCGGCTTTTCTTGGAGTATGTATTTCCCTCACCTTGCCTCTATTCGAGACTAACCAAGAACAGATTCGCTCGGGTGCAAGATGATAACCGGGAAATGCTGGCGTACAAGGAGTGAGGAAAGTGGGATCCGTCTACAAGCAAATGTGTCGTGTAAACTAGACCAAATGTATGTAAACCGATTGGGCTTAGTAGATGAGCCGCACAAAGTTTATTTTAGGTTCGGCCAATGAAAGGCCAGATAAATCTCGTTCCGTGGCCAGTATGGGTGCCTTCGTTTGACGGCTTTTAATGTTTGGGCATGCAGTATCCAACTCCCTATTATTGCAAAGATATTCCCGATTCTCAATATATGATCATATGGTGACTCCGAATTGGAATTGCGGTACATCAAACTCAAGCTTTATTTCTGACACACCATGCTGATACTGACGGCATAAGGAAGGAGTCGAAGCAAGAACTTAAAATCAAGCGGACGATCACGTATGCCGAAGCAGATCCCTGAATGAAAAGATGACTAGGCAAGCTTGGGGCTGCACAACCTTTCTTTGGGAGAGGACATACTCCAACGTTCACAGTTATTCCCGTTACGGCGATCCTCTGTCCTCAATGGGAATAATAAACAAACCTTGTCACTACAGGTGAGTCAACTCGCTTCTAGTCTTTTGTCATCTCGCTTCTTTCCTCATCTCATCCTGCTGTCCATCCTCGACAACGGCTTTTATATAGCAGAAAGCACAAAGGATCCATTTCTCATCCAAAATCACCAGCGTGAACATGGCATACAACAAAAAAGTCCTCACTCTGATCCAATGTGGTATGATCACATACCCGCACCAGGTGACGGAGACATCTATACAAATTACAGAAACAACATGCTAACAATAGTCCCAGATAAGGTCATCATTGAAAAGCGACCAGAGCATCCAGTCAAGTCGACATCAACGATGAAAACCCCTCGTCTTTGAGATCCGAAGGCTCCACCTCCGACATCTCTGACGCACCGCATACGAAGCCCAGCTGTGCTGACTAAAAAGGAAAAGGCCTGGAAAGGATACTGGGGATGCTGAGCTGTTTGGATGTCAAACCCCAGAGGGCTGCGACTGACCATATACATCGTTAGCGCGCTAACCATCATGTTGATTTTCGGCAGTGGCACGGCATTTTACGTGACCGGAAAGAGTCGAATGGAAAAGAAGAAGATTTTCCAGCAGGAGACAATAAATCTGACGCCCCGTGAGGTGATTTCGAGCCTTCCTTCTGGCCCGAGCTGGGCGTTCTATCCAGATAGCTTGCCGGCACACCGAATGACTTCTCCCACTATCACCGTATCACCGTGGTTGTCCCCATTTCAACACAGGTCATCAAGATAACTTTCGTCACCAAGGTTCGCATATCCCGAGAGACCAATCTTTGTTCTTCCCCTTCCAGCAGCAGTATGGCTTGCACGTGAGCCTATGCACCAGTGACTTCCTCCCCAATTAAAGGAACAGCAGTTGGAGCTGATCTATAGAGATTGATGGGAGATTTCAGGAGACCAAGAGCCGGCTCCAGGGACTCATAAATTTGTTCTTTTCTTGAAAAGGGTGACATTGAATTGTGACAGCATGGGTAGAATCGCTGTTCGTCGGGGACTTTTATGCTTTTTTTCAAGTTCCTTTTTTTATGTCTTCTTCTGTGCTTTTGCATTGCTTTGTGGTGTTTTAGAGTACTGGATCTGCTAGTCATACTGAAGCTGAATTATGCTACTATATATTCACATTGCTGGCGAGACAGTTATTGTTGTAGCTGTGTCTAACATCACATCATTTAAATGCCTTCATCATATGAGCTACTGTATTGGCGTCTAGGGGTCGATCGGCCACATAGGAACCCGCGCAATAATCTTTTCAGATTTGCGTTACTTCATCGTCAGCCTCACTCGTTTTCCAGACCTTTTTACCTGTTCCTTGCGTTCTTTGCAGTCTCAAATACGTAAATTTACACCTGGATCTTCGTTTTTCGTATTATCCCTTGGGAAGAGAGTTCAACCAACGAAAGTTCATTTCCAACGCGCCTCTTCGCTCTCGCCTCTTCATACTTTGCTCTCTCCACCTGCATTCATACTTCGAGGCCTTCCACCCTCCCAACCCTGTTTTGTGCCCTAGTTCGATGCTCTTGTTCTGTTAGAAGCTATGCTCTGTTGACCTCAGTCAAATCGGCTTCCAGCTGTTCCGTGGTCTGCTCGTGAGCAGGCAAAACCTCAGAATTACTGTGAGTCTCTGCTATACTTCGCATTTGCTTTCTCCTACACAGACCACAGATCTCATGTAACCGCCAGACTCCTTGTCCCAGATTGATGCCACTGGTTACTTCAGTACCTTGCCAGGCATGAGGAATCCCAGCGAGAAGTGGTCACCTCTGACCGATACAAACCTGCAGAGAATCCCCGTTGTGTTCCTCAGTTGGCCTCATACATACCCTCCGTGAGTGATCGGGGAAAATTTGTATGCTTTCCTGGTTGGTGCTAACAGTTTAACTTCCATAGACACATCCCGAACGAGATGGCCTACACAATTGAAAGATTGCGCCAAGCGCAGAAGCTCTTCAATGGTGCCATCAGCCAGTTTTCCGTTCTTCCGAAAGTGCAAAGCCCGTACAATCTTCGTGAGCGTAAACGTCCCGAGATCCTTGGATCATGGCACGATGACTCGAATGATGAGGATTATGATCCCGACGAGGATCGAGTCCGGAAAAAGCGCAAGAGTTCTGTTGCCCCGTCTGCGGGCTCAAGCCCTCGAATGGTCAGGAAGGCTCGGAGTATGTCTTTTTTGGCCGAGCCCAATGTGAACATGGACTCGGACCATGACGAGGAGGAAGAAAGTCCCCCTGACCTAAATACCTACCACAGTGAGCCTGAGCCCGATGCCTGGGACCAACGCTGGGCCGTGGCTCCTTCGACCACTCCCAACTCCCGCTATCAACTGCGTCCTCGTGCTCAACCTGAGACCGAGAGCCCTGCCAAGGCCAAGGCTGATCGACTTGCCGCCATCACACCTCAACTGCCTGCGTTTGCCTCCTCTTCGGCAGCGGAAGATGACAACAAGCCCGCCCGAGGATGTGAGGCCTGCCGTGACCTCGGCCAGGAGTGTTCCCTCGAAACTGATCGTGATCCATTTGCCTACCCATGCACCGAGTGCGAACAAGACGGTCTTGACTGTGTGTTGATTCCTGCACCAAAGTGGAAGCGCTCGTGCGAGAAGTGTCGTCGCCGCAACCTTTGGGAGCCATGCTCGTACCACTATGCCGATTATGACCATGAGCTGCCCTGCCACTCATGCATTGATCACGGATATCCTTGTATTGCTGGCCCGGCCAGACACATGCCGTCTGTTCTCATGTCACAGCAGATTGCAGATGAAACTGACGAGGCTGAGCCAATGTCGGAAGCCATACTCGATAACGCCGAGCCCTCCAATACTATTGAATCGATCAATATCTCGGACGAAGAGAATGATACCGAAGGCAACAATGAGGAGGAAGAAATGGGCGAGGCCGCCATGCCAGAAGCCAATGCACTCCCCACCACGAACCGCCATGGTCAAGTCCCACCCGCCATTGCCTTTGGGGAAGTCCGTCGTATCCAGACCGAATTTGCCCACCCTCTCCACTTCGCTGGTGATTGTGATTATCCACGAGAAGGCCCTCATTGCAACTGGTGCCACAACTTCGCTTACGGCATCGTTGGACTTGGTGCTCGCAACCCGGAGGTCATCGACTTTGGCACCAAGATGATCGAGATCCAAGATGGACACACGGGCGAAGGAAAGGAAGAGACTCGGATGTGTCTGGACTGCGTTTGTCACAGAATCAAGATCATTCAGTGCACGCATGCCAGCGTTGGCCCTTTGCGTTCGCCTGAATCAGAACGGGACCCGTCGGAGGAGATCGCGGAGTGTGAAAACTTCATCAGAGCGCGTGATGCTATCGTCGACCCCCGGGATAATGCTTCTGGTCCCCCCTTCGCGACCAATCGTGAATGGTGTGGCATTTGCCGCAAGCCCGCTGCCTGGACTTGCAAGACCCCCAGGCTGCCAACATTTGCGAGGCGGTAATTGACTGTGATAAGCTGAGCTACGGATGTGGTCTGCACCTCTGTGACTTGTGCTGTGAGCTGGTGAAGTTTTTCGAGGGAGATCTAAACGCTGTTTACGATCATTATGTACACGAGCAAGGCATGCAAATGCAGATCCGTGCCGATGCAGAGTTCATCCTCTCTGGTGCCGATAGGAACCTTGTCTACAAGCGTATGCTAGTGGACTAGGTGGTTATCTACTCTTTACGTCTCAGGAGAGAATAATGATGATCCGACGCCTTACATTAGTTGATACAATGCAAATATGTTATGACTATGCGTTGAAATGTGAGTGTATTTTTTTTCCATAGCATGATAAGTTGTGAGTGTTAGGATGTAGCTATCCCAGAGTGTTTTATGTCAATAGTGAGGCGCAGACAAATGATGAGTGAATGGTGACATTGTGCCCAGGTTTATTGCGATATGTAGATAATTTGCACAATCAGGCCCAACGGACAAATAAAGGTTCCCAGTGCATTGTGAATAGCGTAACAATAGCTATTGACGACCGTCTTTCGTGATTCGCGCGTCAGTCGTATTGATTGCATTGGACGAATACGTCCAACTTCTTCGTCCGGCTTGAACATAAAGTCGACCTTTGCACTCATTCTTCCTGTTTCTTTTCCTCTCTCGATTGTATTTCTTCTCTTTACTTTACGCAGATTCCAGTGCAGTATCTCCAAGTTCAAATTTAACGCTTGAAGTAGGGCTTCCGCTCCGGGAAAATGCACTAACTAAAGGATTTTCTGCCAGCAAAATTGTGTTTCCTTCCCATCCAACCTCTTTTTTCCGTGTCATCTCTTTCTATTTCTCTGCCCCGAGCTGCGACACGAGGTGCGCAGCTCACAGTCACGACGTCTTCTCCAAAGCGCCGCAAAGTTTCCCCAGAGCCTCGCACCAGTCCAGGCCTTCGAGCTCGACGTCACGGCCGCTCCGAACCTCCCTCCCGCTCTCGCCACCCTACATCTTCAAGCCGGAGCAGCTCGTCCCTCTCTCCGCCCAGATACGTGCCAGCTCATCTGCAGTTTCAATCTGAGACTGTGCCTGGTGGCCGTTCGCCGACTCCCGCGACCGCGACCGCCGGACTCACTCTCTCAAGCGAGCATTCCGACATGCCCTCCGACATTCGAGAGGGCACCCCTCTGAACGCCGATGGCCGCTCATCTTCTCCCGGCGAAAAGCGCCCGGCATCGGAAATCACTGACTCCGACCCGGAAGGAGGCGTGAGCACGAATCTTTGCAGCAATGCGCGCGCCACCGGGGACAAGGCCCGCACAGGCGATAACTCTGCGGCTCCCACCGCTTCGCGTACGGATACCGATGCGCCAGCTGCGGCTCAGCAGTCCGGATCGGAATCATTGAAATCAGACAAACCTACGATCGACGAGCAAGTGGCAAAAGTGAATGCGTTGAGGAACCAGCCGATACAGAATGGTCAGAAGGGTTATGTGGTCTCCATGGCTTGGTTGAAGAGGGTGCTGGCCAGAACTACCGCCTACGCAGATCAGGCGGACAAGGATTCCCAGGAAGCTGAGCTCGGTCCTATCGATAACATGGATATCGTGCTAGACACCGACCCCTCCACTCCCAGCTTCAAAGATGAGTCGGGCGAAACGTTTGTGCCGATGCGCCCTGGCTTGCAAGTTGATCAGGATTTCGTAGTTGTTCCCCAGCAGGCTTGGGACCTGATGCGCGGATGGTACGGCGTTGCCGACCAGTCGCCTATCATCGTTCGATACGCTCACAACACGAACTCGCCTGGCGAGGACGAGACGATTGAGTACGAGACAAATCCTCCAATCTTCACAATCTTCAAATTATCCAACCCTTCCGCGGGAACTACGCCAACAACACTAAAAGAAAAGGATCTTCCGTCCGTCAAGATATTGGCTAGTCGCCAGACAAATTATCAGAAGTGGTTGAAGGACGCAAAAGAACAAGCTGGAATCGAGATGTCTACCAAAGTCCGAGTCTGGAAGATTCTTCGTCTTCCTCAGAGCACAAACGGTTCGACCGTTACGACCCCGGCTGTTTCCCGCAGTACCTCACCTGCTCCGGCCTTTGCACTGGTTCCCAGCAAGACCGACAAGCTTCTCATGGATTTGAATGTTTTCCTTGGTCTCCCAGAGGGAAGCCAGCGAGAATTGCTTGACCGTGCCAAAGACCAGACCAACAACGCAAACTACAATGGCCGCATGAATCTGGATATGGCTGGTCTCGGAAACGCGGATTGCCTTGTTCTGGAGGAGCAAATCGGTGGAACGAAGGGTGGGGATTGGGTATCAGAGGCATCTGCAAGGACCTTGAAGAACTTGGGCATCCCAGTGAATCAGCCCAAGACTCTCACTATCAAAATTGCCGAGAACAGCCCACCAGCCAGTACCACCAGTGGTAGATCCACTCCCTCTGGGCCTACCCCTATCAAAGGATTCACTGCTCGAGGCCGCAGGGGCCGACCACAGAGACTTCTAGGACTGGAGAACCTCGGCAACACCTGCTACCAAAATTCAGCACTGCAATGTCTGCGAGCCGTGGAGGAGTTGACATACTATTACCTCAGTTCGTACCTTCATGTCACAGTTGGCTCTCGAGAGAGACTTTGGCCGCTAACACAAACATACAGGTGGCGCATACAAAGCCGAATTGAACCTCGGAAACCCTCTTGGCTACAAGGGTGCGATTGCCAAAGGATGGGCTACTTTGCTTGATCAGTTGTACAACTCGGAGTCAGGAGAGAGATTCGCCAATCCCAAACGTTTCCGGCATACGATCGGTCGTTTCTACGAACCTTTTGCTGGCTGGGAACAGCAGGACAGTCAGGAGTTCGTCATGTTCATCCTAGATGCACTCTCAGAGGACACGAACCGTATTGCGAAGAAGCCATACACGGAGATTCCTGACTCTACCGATGAAATGGTTCACAATCGCAAGGCTTTGGAAGAATTTGCGCTGAGATCATGGGACATCTACAAATCCCGCAATGACTCCGTCATCACCGACCTTTTCGCTGGCATGTACAAATCATCTGTGTGTTGCCCAGATTGTGAGAAGACAAGCATTATCTTTGATCCTTTCAGCACTCTCACGCTCCCAATTCCGGGTCCCCCGGCCCTTATTACCCGAAAGGTGACTTTCGTTCCTCTCGAAGGCCATCCTGTTTGCCTAAGCGTTCAGCTGGAAGCGTCTCTCAGTTTGAAGGGCTGGAAAGAGTATGTTGGCAAATGGATGGGTGTTAATGCAGACCAAATTGTTGCGGGTGAGGTCCACCACGGCTCGTTCTGGCAATTGTTCCTAGACGACGACGTTTCTTTCGGCTCTCTTCGCACAAAGATTGACGATCAGATCCTGTTCGCCGACGTGGGTCCTCTTGATGAAGAAGGCATCCTTCTCCCTATCTTCCACCGCAAGAACACATCTCGCAATGCCAAGAACAACTTCCGCGATTTGTTTGGCCTTCCATCATTCGTCCACTTGTCTCAGGCGGAATCTCATGACTTTGAGGCAATTTACCGCAAAATTCTCCGCTCTGTTGCGACGATGACTACTCGTGACATCCTGAATAAGGACGAGCCCAGCCTGGATGACCAAGGCACAGATGACTCAGACACCGTTGTCACCACAGAAGATGACGCTCACTCAGCTGACTCCAAGATCAAAAGCTCATCTGTAGAAGGTGACGACAGTCTTGTGGACGTTTCCATGCAAGACGCCCAGACTCCAAAGACTGGCGATGATATGGAAGACTCGGCTTCTGACTCTGACTCCGCGGACTTGCTGCCTCATCATCCCCTGGCTGGCAGAATTTCCCGAGAGCTATTGAGTCTTTTCGAGGCCAAGGTCCTGGCCACCAAGTCTCCTCTTCCCGATGGCCGCACTCTAGGCCAAATCAGAAATAAAGAATTGCCTTTGATTTCCTCTCGTATTCCAACTGACCATGATTCCAAGAAGGTATGTCTAGATTTCTTTCGTCCATTCTTTGATTATTTTTTCCTAATTTTCTCCACCAGGGCTCCGACTCTGCTTCCCATGTTTCAGCAGAAGACAACAGTGATGACTACAGCGATACCGATGGATCGGATATGGAGACCACAAAGGAAGAGTCGATCCTTCGCCAAGGCGATGGCATAGTGTTGGATTGGACAAATGAAGGCTTCGATGCCCTGTTCGGCGGTAACCAGCGTGACAACGAGCTTCGAGGCCAGCCTTCCTACAACAACGTCAAGGTTCTCACGGACCCTGAGGCCGTCGCCAAGCGTCAGGAGCAGGCGAAGCTGAAGGCTGCTGGTGTCACTCTCGATCAATGTCTGGATGAGTTCAGCAAAGAGGAGGTGCTTTCCCGTGGAGATGCTTGGTACTGCCCTCGTTGCAAGAAACATGTGCAGGCCCACAAGAAGTTCCAGCTGTGGAAGGCTCCCGACGTTCTGGTCATCCAGCTCAAGCGTTTTACCCAGGCCCGTAGCTTCCGAAGCAAGCTGGACACCCTGGTCAAATTCCCTCTTGATAATCTGGACTTGAACGGTCGTGTGGAGGGTCCTGCAGATGGAAAGAGCTTGGAGTACGATCTTTTCGCCATCGACAACCACCTCGGTGGACTGGGTGGGGGCCATTACACTGCTTACATCAAGGACTTCTTGACCGGTGAATGGAACCATTGCAATGGTAAGCTTTTCAATCTCTCGCATGGTGGGAGCCTGCAACTGACCTTCTTTCTAGATACCCACGTTCGCCCTGTCACACAGCTTTCATCTATGATTTCCTCCAATGCCTATCTCCTATTCTACCGTCGTCGTTCCGCTCGTCCATTGGGCAACCAGGAATTGCAGGAAATGGTGGAGTCTTACAAGACTCCTACGGCTGACGGTGGCAATTCGTCTGCCTCCCAGTCACCTTCGGGGGACGGCCTCGGCGCCTCCTCCCGCAATGGCTCTTCGAGCGCCTTAGCCCCAGCCGGGGCAACCCCCCAAGCGGGAAATAGTGGTTTGCGCGCCAACAATGTGGGGACGGAGGAGAACGATGACGACGAATATTCTACAGACGATGACAGTGATACTGGCTTCGAAAATGGCGAATCCGAAGGTATGACTCTCACCAACAACGAAGATGAGTCCGATCACGAGGACGAGGGACTCCCGTACCAGGACCCATTCAGCATCTTCAAGGAGCCTTCCTGGTCCTTCGATCAAGCGACCGAAGCTCACGACATTCCACAGATGACTCCAGTTAATGCCTCTCATGACGACGCTGGGCTTTTTGATGACAACGACAGCACCGTTGCAGTCGGTGACGAAATGGACATGGACACTGGTCTCCACGACCTTGATGAAGCTACTCCCGCCGCTCCCACTCCCCAGACTGGTGCCTCTTTCGTTTCCATGATGGAAGATGAGTCCTCCGACGAACTCCCGGTTATGGAGTTGCGTGTGGGCGACGAGGACAAGATGATTTCGGATTAATGAACAATGAACAATGAACAACAAATCAACAAACTCAACAAACTCAACAAAATCACGAAAAAAAGAACGAACAAAGAAAAGTGAAGATCTCTGGTCTGAAGATGATCTGGTGCATCAGGCGTTTTCCAACAAGGTTGGTGGGTAGTACATACACATAGGAAAGAGGATCTCATGTTGTTTCTTTGCGTGTCAACATTGGTAGCCTTCCCACAGTTGCTGTGGCATGCATCTACCTGGTGGATTTCTGATTTCTAGGACGATTACCCTGGTCTTGATCAGCTTGATAGGGTCCTGAGGCGTGTGGATCGGTTTATTTCATAGTTGTTGGTGTATCTTATGGCATCTTACCCACCCGCATGGGGTAACGGCATTGTCTGTTAACTTATCCCTGGTCGTATCATTTCGTAGCTTATATTTTCCTTCAGTTGACGTCAAACAGCAGTGCCTCAAGAGGGTCATCACGACCCACTTGTGCATGTAGTTCTGCGAGATGTAAGAGCCTTTCTCATTGCTCATTCCGGCGCTCAAAATATTATAACGAGACAATACAATGGCAGTCTCGGCTCAGTTGAAGGCATTGGGAGAAGATGTATGGAGAGTGCGCTCCTTCCCATTAGGGCTGGGATATGCCCACCATAATCTGACCTCGTATTGCCACGTCTCGCTTTATCTCCCTTTGCTCTTATCTGATCTCCTCGTATTACCACGCACCATATACAATGGATTGATGCGGTATGTACCCAGGATTTATAACCCCCGATGGGCTCCCTCCCGACTCCAATCCCCCATCTGGCCCTCAATATCTTCCTGAGTTTATTAAAAGACGTCACCGATCCCATCCCTGGCCCCTCAGAGATCGTTACGACCGACACCTCCCCAATCGAACCGCAGAGGAGAGACGAGAGAGCCAACGTCTTGAAGATCATCGCAACCAAATCCTCGCATCCATGGCTCAGCCTTCATCCAATCACCTCGGATCTCCTGGGCTAACTCTTCCACGCTCTATTCGACACCGCGCGGCCAACCTCAGCGAGAGCGAGATCAGTGTCCTCGACCTTGGTCCTAGTCTACAACCCAGTCTGAGAACTACTCCTACTCCCATCTCACGAATTCGTCGCAATGGAGTCTTGATGAGTGAAAATCCCGCTCTATACACTGCTCTTGCTAGCCTTGCGACAGACGATGACGGAAATGAACAGCGGCTGTGCACTGACGACCTGGAATCTGAGGCTGTGAGCTCTGCCAGTGAAGTCTCCAACCCACACCCTCTCAGTCACCGCCAGCGCCGCCAAAATATCATTATTTCACGTTGTCCTGGACCAGTCAGTTTTGGTCCTCGACCTGTTCGACAACTCCGTGACAGCCGCGTAGCTTCCTCCGGTGATGTTCAGAACCTCGGGCACGGTTACGGATATGGATATGGCTATTCGATGCGGGAAAATCATCTTTACTTTTCCGATGAGTCCAACGGCCACATCATGGCCGGGTCTGTTCCGCACTCTCCACGATCGCCTCCTGCACCCCTTCGTCGTGTGCTCTACCCGGTGGACTATTACATTGTACTCGCCCCTGAACAGTCGAATTTGCGCAACGTCGAGCAGGCAAATGACGCGACTCCCGGAGACAGCTCCGCAAACCCTCTGGATGTGGATGAGCAACGTCGGCAGTCGGAGACTAGTTGAAAGGAGGCAGCAGTATTGCAAATTCAAGGCTTTTCTGGAGGAATAATGGGAAATATTGATATCCACGATGATTGGAAAGACTAAAGACTCAGTGATTATTTGGGGATAGGCTGGGGGATATGAATGGGAAACTTCCGGCATGGAACGTTGTCACCACTCACTGAGATTGCTCTTTCATAGTTAGAATTATTAGTGTAGTTCAATAATCAACGGGATTGTCCAGCCCAAGGTCTTGCATTTCGTCTTCAAATATTCTTGCCTTCATTTCCTGAAATAAAAGTAATCCCTTTCCATTCGTTGGGTCGTTAGTAGCTAGTTCCTTTGTCTAAAAGGAAGTGCCACGTCGCCCATTTGCATGTCCAATCCGTACTCTATTAGAAAACCTAACACAATGGTAGGCCCGGAAGAAAGAGAGATCGTTCAGGGCCTAAGGTGATCGCCGGTGCACCGGTAGGGCCCGCATGTTATAGTATAACGGCCACTAGAGAAACTCCAATCCGCAATTTGGCCAATACAGTTGTTCTCTTTTCTTTTCCTTACGGATCTTTGAATCTGAAGAAAACTAAAGAGCTAAAAGGTAATCAAATTTTGGCTTGGTTGGACTTATATAAAAACAATTATGCACATATTAAAGCAGTGCGTGGCTTGATCAATACATTAATTTTATTCTCCATAAATCTTGGGCGAAATTAGAAGGACACCCATATTTGATAATTGGACCCTAGCAAATGTACGCTAAGCCTACCTAGCCCGGCCGCAGTAATTGTATTTCTAATGCATTATTAGTAAAACTGCATTAATTTAACAAACAACTAGCCTCCTGACTCAAGGTACTTCCATTTACTATGCAGCCCGCTAATAAAATTAAGTCACTCCCGACCCTCTAGTACTATCTACGTAGCGGGATGATCCGCCGCTGTTTGAGATCGTGGAGGCCTAGGAAGCACATGAAGACTGGCAGCTGCAACGGGGGGAGCCAGCGAGGTCAAGGTCGAGGACGTGTACGAGGACGTAGAGGCACATAACGGGTGGGAATAGACTCGTCTATGGCCTAGGGAGTTTAAGCTACGCCCCCGTCGTCGCCGGCGGCATCTTAGGAACTGCGAACAGCTCCATCTACGGCCAGTTGGTTGTTGGCAAGGGTCGAGAGTGACTTAATTTTACTAGTGGGCTACGTAGTGAATAGAAGTACGTTAGATCCTCAACCGCCGCTACTCGGGGCATCAGGTATTGCCAAGAAATGCATGGATTTTTACCGAATAATGCATTGGAAATACAATTACTGCGGCCGCCCTAGGTAGGTTTAGCGTACATTTGCTAGGGTCCAATTATTATATATGGGTGTCTTTCTAATATCGCCCTAAATCTTTATGGTCCTTTGTCAACATGGTTAACAATAAGCCATCTAACGGTGTTTCTCTCAGACTTATTCTGGAAGGTCGGCTATGTATATAGCTGTTGCACTTTATAGAGATGGTATGTGCGTCATGAATTAACTTTTATGATCAAACACTACATGTGGTGTAGTGTAAGTTAAACATGGATATGACATGCTCTACCATGAGCCAAATTAGGCATACAAATCATGAATAATCATGAATAGTGAACTTTGTTTTTATTTACCCAGCTGAGGTCGTGGGTTCTCATTATGTATCTCGTCTCAAACTGTGGTTATGAGAATGGGTCCATGCTAACCATTCTCACTTCCAGGGTTATTCAGCCACATATAAGCTTGCCAGGCTCCGTCAGTCAACAGGCCATGTTTCAACTGTCAGATTATAGTCCCCTTCAGGTCCAGAAATAGAATCAAATACGAGAATTTCCGGTAAAATCGGGTAGAAATGTCACTTTATTCCTGCATCAGTTGATTGTCGGCAAATCCCGCGGAAATGTCTTAAATATCGAAAACAAGCTTTTGCCTCTACATAAAGGTTTTGTTTGCTCCATGGCTCTGTGTACATTTCATTACAATCTCTTATTCCGGGGCATCAATATGACTCTCTCAGCATGCAACGTTGTGTCGAATCCCTCTTTTGAAACTGGCATCCTGAACCCGTGGCATGCATCTGCTGTGGACGTCGCCAAGATAAGCAATGGAACAACTGCATACAGTGGGGACTATTTTCTGTAAGGAGATCTCCTCTAATATAGCATTTGTGGCTACTCAATATCACTCTGGAAATGAACTAATCCATTGATACTATACAGTAATCTTCAAACCGCAGTGGGAAATCGTGGCAACACAATTTCGCAGTCCCTCAAAGACCTTAAGCCGCGCTCAAAATATGATTTTAGTGTTCAGGTACAGATGCCATCGCCTTCTGGTTCGTCGTACTGCTCCGTGTATGTCTACGCGGGCCGAAATGCCACGGTCGGCGCAATTGCCTCGGCACAGCTGTTCAGTTTTGGAGAATGGACGGAGGTTAGGGGGAGCTATGTTGCCAGGAAGGATCATGACATTTTGAACATTGTGGCTGCTTGTGGCTCGGAGGATTCTTCGGTTACTGGAAATATTCTGATTGATAATATTAGCTTGACATCTGGGCAGTGTGGATGGGCTTCTGACTAGATATTATTGTATTATTCCTCGGTATCTCTAAGATCAAATGCCAAAGGGCCTAGCGCAACTGAATTGCTGCTGGCATGATCTTGCTGTTCCTAGGGCAGGGAACTATATATATCTTGCCAAGAGATATTATTCGAAGAGAAAGGATGTAGTCCGGTGCCCGCTAAAGCGGACTACGTATAAATTATGCCTTCAGTCTGTAAGTGGCCATCACTGCAACTGTTATTTCCAAACTAGATACCGCTGAAGTGTCCAGTTCAAAGTATACAGTTGTAGTCTCCCCAGCCTCCATGACGTAATCGCGAACACCGCCTTGCACCAGCCACACTGCGACTTCCCCCGCAGATCCCCAGGCACAGCTTCTCCAAGTTCCAGCACACACCTTCATCATGTGGAACGATGAGGACAACAACCCCTATGGGGCCTTTGATCAGCATCAGTCGCATTTGTCCGACTCTCTCCACTCAGCTGCGCTGTCTCCTCGTAAGGGCCTCAGCTCTAATCATTCTGCCTTGGGAACAGTCGCTTACATCGCTCAGCTCTCTACGCACAGGATTCTACTCCTCCATCTAGTCGCGACTCTAATCTCGATCCCCCCGAATACATCACCAACCCTGAAGATCTCAGCGATCCCGAGGATGAGGCCGAATATGGAGCCGCCAGCCAACAATACCCCCGGAAGAGCGTTTACGACAGCCGGATTGAGCAGATCCTGTATGAAAATCCGGAGATGCCAATTCTGATCACGGATGCCGGCAAGAACCATGAGAGTGGAGGTGGTTTCATTGTTTACACTATCCGGACAGCGGTAGGATGATGGCGTTCGGAGCGTATTCGTGCTGTACTGAGTGATGACAGGATCTGGAAGTGCGCCGTCGATACTCCGAGTTCGCCTCTTTACGACAGACTCTTGTTAATTTGCATCCCACGCTTGTTGTTCCGCCTATTCCCGAGAAGCATAGCATGGCGGACTATGCGGCCAAGCCCACCAAAGCCAAAGAAGACACAGCAATTATCGACCTTCGGAAGCGTATGTTGAGTGTTTTCCTCAACCGATGCAGACGAATGAAGGAAATTCGGGAAGATGGAGTGTGGTGGAGGTTCCTCGACCCAAACGTCAGCTGGGTGGGTTGGACCTGGATCCTTGCTACGAAGTCACTGATTAATTTTTATGCAGAGTGAGGTTTTAGGTTCCCACCCCGCATCATCAGTTCCAAAAAATAATCTTAAGGCGCCTCCTCTTGATCCTGCCAACCCGACACCAGCCCATGGATGGCTGCCAGTTCCGTCTTCGTCCGCAAAGCTTAAGCCCAGCGGCGGGGTTGTCACATCGACAGGAGGTCCAGCATCACCTTCTTCAGCCGAGCCAGAAGGTCCTCCACCTTCAATCCCGGGACCCGACATCCTTGGGCGCTTCCCTCCCGAGTCGCGGAAGCTTAGCGAGCCAGAGCTGGATCCATACTTTATCAACTTTGAAGCATCTACCCGTGAGCTAGAACTTCTTCTTCAGGGCAATATAGAGAAAGTCAATCGCCGCACGCTGTCGCATTTATCTTCCCTTTCAGCTGACCTTATGGAACTGGGAGCTCGTTACAATGGATTTTCTCTCTCCGAGCAATCTCCAACAGTGGCTGCTGCTATTGAGAGGATCGGACAAGCTGCTGATACTTCTTACATTGAAACTGAAGAATTGTCATCGGCCTTGAGTGCAAGCTTTGCGGAGCCTATGCGGGAGAGTGCACAGTTTGCTAGCGTGGTTCGCGGTGTACTGCGATACCGCGTGCTCAAGCGAGTCCAACAAGAAATGACCCGGGATGAGTTGGCGAAGAAAAAGACTCTTCTTGACTCGCTGGAGCGCAGTGAGCTGGAAGCCAAGCGCATCGAGCAGTATCTCAACCGCACCACGCCTCAATCTGGTGGTACCAAGCCCCGTTCTCTGTCGACCTCGTCAGCCGTCAGCAGCGAGACTGGCCATGAGTCCTCTGCTGACACCCAGTTCCCCCCTACGCACGACGACTCCTACGGCCATCCGCCTTCATCAAAAACCGGTGGGGCCAAGTCGCCATCACCTCCAGCTCATCGTAAGTCCTCCAGTGGGACTTTCGTCGCGAACAAAATCTTCGGTCGCATCAGTCACGCTATTCACGGGTTCGCTGATGTGGACCCGGAACGAACACGTCGGGACCAAATCGGTAAGACGAAAGAAAGTCTTATTCAGGTATGTAACCGGTGGAGAAGCTTCAGATGTTTCCAGAACTAACGGGATGTCTAGTTGGAGCAAGCATTGGAAGTTTCCGAAAAGGATGTCCAGGACGCTAGTGCCGGCGTTCTCCAAGATCTCAAACGCTTCCAGAAGGACAAAGAAGCTGATCTGCGGCGGTACATGGTATGCACGGCGGCGGCCCGGTTCTCCACTCTCACTAACATTCTTTAGGTTGCATATGGTCGTTGCCACTTGGACTGGGCGCGGAAGAATCTAGAGACCTGGACCGAGGCCAGAGATGAGGTGGACAAGATTGTGGCTCGGTAGAACGTATATACTTCCGAGTTCGAGTTCTGGCGCCGGCGTTGGGGGATATCATCTACTAGCTTCAATCCATCAGCATCCATTAGTGGCTTTTTAGTACTGTATAGCCTTGGCAAAACAATGGCATAGAATGTTTGCGGCGATGTCTCATAAAATAAAGGGACATTAGGGCCATTGACTCCTGTCAAGGTAGAAGTGTCAAATTCGTCCTCGTCCTTACGGGAATAGCGAAGGGCACATTCCACCTGGTCCGTGTGGGGACAGGCACTACACCTCACCTTCATACCTCCTTGCTTCACATATTCAAGGCGTTTATGCACTCTGCATGAATTGCAGTGAAAAAGTGTCAGTTTTAGCGCCCATTGCCATACATCACGACTCGTCCAACTTCAAACTGAAATCTTTCCGCATTCGTCACCAACGCCAAGACATCAACATCAACATCAAGAACAGGTCGAACTGGCATTCCACACCTTGCAGGCATGCCCCTCTGTGGACCCCTGACTCTGCTGCATCCCTCTGGACTCCGGCGCTGAACCCCACCCTCGAAGGGTGGACCGCCGTGCGTCGACTGAAAACGATGTGTGCCTGGATCCATCGCAAGGATGATCGCCAGGGCCAGTCACTTATCACGGCCGGGGATGCCACCTCCTGGGGATTACGACAATCCTCAACTGTGGTCTCTCCGGTCTCTTTTGGCACAGTTCCCTCGACGCTGGATCAAGATGCTTGCCCTCCTCGGTCTTGTTGGTTTCTTCTCCGTCGGCCTTGGCGTGAGTATCAATGCGAGAGATCAGAACTTCGAAAATGGTCAGAAACTAGAGGATCTTGGTCAAGCTGTTAGCCAGTTTCCTCCTTCTCGCCAGACTCAGCAACATACACATGATCCTACTATTCTTCGCGTTGATGATGAATATTATCTTTACAATGTCGGCGAGCATATCTTCATCCACACTGCCCCGAGTATGGCCGGCCCCTGGAAGCATATCGGCAGTGTCCTTGATGGCAACAGCGTGATTCCGAAGGGTGATCGAGCCGTACCTTGGGCCCCTACTGTCATCGCCGTGGATGGCACATACTATTGCTACTACAGTGTCAGCAAGGCTGGCTGCCGTGATAGTGCCGTGGGAGTTGCTACATCCGACTCTCCAGGCCCCGGCAACTGGTATGACCATGGGATTGTCATTCAGACTGGTACGGGCAATGGCTCGGACATTGCTCCATACACTATGACCAATGCCATTGACCCTGCTACATTGATTACTCCAGACGGTGACGCTTATTTGACATTCGGTAGCTACTGGAATGGCATTTTCCAAATCCCCCTCGGGCCGGATTTGATTTCGCCGGCTAGCACTACGGAGCCCGATGCCCGTCAACTGGCGTGGGAGCCTAAGTCTCTCGGCATGCCGAGCCGGTTGGCCAATAACCTTTGTGGTGACCCGACTGGTCCTCATGCTATTGAGGGTGCCTTCACTTCTTACAATGATGGTTGGTATTATCTCTGGTATAGCCATGGTTTCTGCTGCAACTTGAAGAAAGACAACTTGCCGCCTGCTGGTCAAGAGTATGTTCTCGTCACCGTTCCTTGGGACCCAAACTAATTTGATGATAGATATTCCATCCGTGTCGGACGGTCTCAGAGCCCTCGTGGCCCATTCGTTGACAGAGCTGGTATTGACCTCGTCGAGGGTGGTGGTGAAGTTGTCTATGGCTCGAACGGAGATACCTACGCTCCAGGTGGTCAAGGTGTTATCCGCGATGGGGATACCGATGTCCTCTATTACCACTACTGTGAGATCTCCATCGAGCAACTTCCTTTACTTGGAACCATACTGACTTCCTCACAGTGAACAAGACCGTTGGCATTGGATTCTCGGTAAGCTTTCACTTTGGCAGGCTTGTAGATCGTGATGTTCGCGATATCTGCACCCCTGTCGATCCTCCTTCATTACCCCTTCCACCTGCTTCCACGTCACACGGATCTGATCTAACACATATTTCACAGGATGCCTTCCTTGGCTTCAACCCTCTCGAATATGTAGATGGATGGCCTATCGCCCAGGCCTAATCGCCCATATCACGCCATTCTTTACTCGTCATCTTCGATTTTCCGATATATCTATAGACTAATCACCCGCGATCATCCTTCATCCCTTACGATCTTCGAGCATCCATCGCTCGAATTCTGCACATTTCGCGTTCTCGCTGTTGACATACTTGTTTCACTTTTTGCTACTGGTCTGGTCTCTTTTTGTTGCGGGATTCACTGCTCATACGCGTTCTTCTGCCCGAAGACATTTTTCTGCATTCTGCGGCGTCTAGGTCTTGGGGCTCAAAATCATTTATTTTCACACATTAGATTATTGGTCTTGTTTGTATTGTTATTTACCAGGCCAAATACATACTACTTTTACCTTTTGTTGAACCTTTACGAGGGTCTATGCAGTCATTAGATTACCCATAGAAAGTCTTGCCCAGGTGACTGGACCTCTATCAGTTACTTGATAACTTCTACGATAAAGCCATCTTTTCACGGCCTTTCAGTCATTTTGGGTTTCATAAGGCCATATGGAGGCCATTGATCGTCGCATTCCTGACTCGTTCTACTTTCTACTCGGAGCCATATAAGAATGGAATAGGTTATTAATCAAGGCAAAGCAGAACGAAATATGTGTTAGCCCCAGGCGGCATAGCACAACCACATGAGGCCTAATGCCAGGAAGATGTTCGAATATCGCATGCAACGTCTCATCAGTATTTCCAAACCTCACCACCCAAAGTCGTCCGATCTTCGAAGATTACGACCGACAGCAGTCCCAGAATATTTGTCGCGAGCCTGTGAATGGTTCCTGCCTCGG